CCCAGGTTCGATTCCGGTCAAGGGCATGTACCTGGGTTGCGGGCACATCCCCAGTAGGAGATGTGCAGGAGGCAGCTGATCGATGTTTCTCTCTCATCGATGTTTCTAACTCTCTATCTCTCTCCCTTCCTCTCTGTAAAAAATCAATAAAATATATTTTTTGTAAAATGTACTGAGTGAGCAGAGCCAGGAAGGGAAGGCAGCTAGAAGGGGGGCAATCGGGGGAGGGAGCGTGGGGGCAGAGGGGGCGACGGGCAGCCGTCAGCTAGAGATCAAGGCCTTTGTAAGCTGCAGGGGACAGCACTTGGTGCGCCACCCGGGCCCCCGTCCTTGGTGCCCCCGTCCTGGATGTTACATGGGGAGCTGCTTCCCAGGCTGAATTATTAACCCCTGGGCCACACTGACATCTGTGCTCTGGGGGCATCTGAATCAAGGCAGTGTAGGCTGGGCCATGGCGTGTGGTGCCCCTCTGTGCCTCAGTTTCCTCTTCTGAAAAATGGGGCCATCCCTCACACCTACTCCCTTGCACGACTGTTGTGAGGATGTTGGAGTTGGTACACGCAGAGCATCTGAACACTAGTGCAGGGCGCAGGCAATGGGTCAGCGAAGCGCTCTCTGAGGTTATCACAGCTGCTGCATTGGATCCCTCCTCCCTCCTCCCACCCTCCCTATCCCCCGTCCCCAGGGCAATGCAAACACCCTCTCAGGGGCAAGGCTGTTCGTGAAGGGAGGGTGTCTCACACTGCACAGCACCCAAACCAAGGTTTCCGACTTCACGGGGCGCTGGGGAAGCGTTCAGGCGGGGACACTGCTGGACTCACCGATCTCAAATGAGTGCTCCAGCAGCAGCCCCACGGTGCCACAGGCCTCGTCTCGACCTTCCACCCCGGCCTGCAGACAGAGGACCCCAAGTGAGGACCAACAGAGCCCTGGCCCTGACCCCGGGCAGACCGGCATCCTGAGAGAGGAGCCTTATTGTCATACTCATATCCAAACACTGAAGCTTGCCCACGGCTCCACCGCGCATTTCATGAAAATTCAGGATCTGGACGGTCCCCAGACAACCAGAGCCTGCAAGCACGCTAACCTCGTTTCCAAGGCAACTATCCGCGCATCACTCTCACGCCCAGTATCATTAATATGCCTGAGTTAAAAGGCACCTGCGCTTCCTTTCCCAGCTAATACTATCCAAGTAGCCTTAACTGTCCCCAAAAAGGAGGGATCCACGCCCTCCTTTTCTCCAAACCTCCAAATTTCTCCTAACTCTGCTGCATCCTCCTCTCGCACCTGCGCAACCTCCCTTCCAGATTTTAATCCCAGATCAAGATCCCGCCCCCCTCATGCATATTCAGCCACAACACACGCCCCCTCCAGTCTCGCGAGAGCCCTCCACCCCGCCTTTTTCATTTTAGCGGCCCGACGTCTGATTCGCCAGCATTCCATCCGGACCACACCTCCTCATGCATATTCATGACGGCAGGTTCCCAGCGTCTGAACGCGGGAGAGGAGAGGCAGTCTGGCCCCGACCGTCACCGCGCCGCGCATACGGGCGCCCAGGTC